ACCTGTGTCTGTCTTCAAGGTGAAACACCTCACCCGTGACTGGAGAACCACAGCCTATGCACTGAAGTACTCGGACACTCTCGAGCTCAATGATGATAACAGAAAGGTTAGAAGAAATACTCCTGTTCCAGTGTTTCCAAGTGAAAACCTCCCTACCAGGATGTTACTGGTGTATGATATCCACATGATTTCCGAGCTGCAGGCTCTTAACAAACAACAAGAAAATGGATGCATGCAAGAAAGGATAATGGAGCATCTCCTCAAAGCCTTTGTAACTTTTGGTGTAATTTCATCAGTTCGTATTCTCAAGCCTGGTAGGGATCTACCACCCGATATCAGGAGGGTCAGCAGTCGGTACACCCAACTGGGAACTCAGGAATGTGCAATTATAGAATTTGAAGAAGTAGATGCTGCCATACGTGCTCATGACTTCATGTGTGCTGAAAAGAAAGAGACCGGCATGAAAGTTGTCCTAATAGGTGTGAAACCTCCGAAGAAAAAAGTTCCCAAAGACAAGAACCGTGACGAAGATACCAGCAAGAGTCTTAAGAAGGCTAGATCCCTTAATAAGAGAGTTGAGGAACTTCAGTTTGCTGGTGATGAATCTTCAGCAAATAGCTCTTCTGACCCAGAGAGTAATCCTACATCACCATTGTCAGGACGCAAAAGTACTGCAACAAATACTATGAGTAATTTGAGCCCCATCATTCACCCAAACAACCATTTGAGTCCTAATGTGTCACCCAGATCAAGTCCTTGGAACAGTCCATCTTCACTAAGAAAAGTAACCAAAAAGTCTCCGCTGGCTGAAGACGGCAAGCTTAACCCAAGCACTAGCCCTGAAATTCCAAGGAAATGTACAGATTATTCCTCGGATAGCAGTATCACTCCTTCTGGTAGCCCCTGGGTACAGAGAAGAAAAGCTCAAACTGTAACACAAGAGAAGAGTCCCGTCAGTAGCCCCATGTTAGCTCGGAAAATACAAAATGCAGACGGTCTGCCTGTAGGGGTGCTGCGGCTGCCTAAAGGTCCTGATGGCACTAAAGGATTCCACAATGGATGTGAAAGAAGGAAGGCTACCAAGAATGAATAAATCATTCTTTAAAAACAATTTCACAAGTCAGTCAACTGCTTTTGTTTAAGCCTGGTGAAAAATGGTCACTTGAGTGACTGAGTTAAGTCAGTATTTAATTTTAAAAGATTTTGTATTCATCTAGAGACTTTATCATTTGTATATTCACTTCACAGAATCACAGAATAGTTGAGGTTGGAAGGCATCTCTGGAGATTGTCCAGTCCACCTCCTTTGCTCAAGCAGGGTCCACTACAGCAGGTCACTTCGGGTTTTGAATGTCTGCAAGGATAGAGACTCCCCAGCACGTCTGGGCAGTGTGTTCCCATGTTCAACCGTCCACACAGTAAAAAGCGTTTCCTTACATTCAGGTGGAATTTTCTGTGTTTCGGCTTGTGCCCCTTGTCCTGTTACTGGGTATCACTGAGAAGAGCCTACCTCCATCTTCTCTACTCCTTCCCGTCAGATACTTAAAAACATTGATGAGATCCGCCCCCTGAGCCTTCTCTTTGCCAGCCTAAACAGCCCCGGGTCTCTAGGCCTCTCATATGAGAGATGCTCCAGTCTCTTAATCATCTTATGCACTTACCTAATGCAATGCCCTTACCTGCCTTTTTTTTTTTTTTTTTTTTTAAATGTATTAGTTTGAAACAGGCATATAAATCATTCATGTAACTACATTATTTGCAAAGCTATGATCCTGAAGAGCAGTGTGTAAGTACTTACAGTTTAGCGGTTGTATTACAATAAGCTGTGGGATGCTACCAGCCTAATCATAAGGAATAGAGGTTTTCAAGACTTTGCGTTTGTCTCAAAAGGAACTCCGAGAAACTTATGCTACAGTGAGCAGTTGCTCTCTGCTTGCATACATCTCCAAAGACAATATTGTTTAGTAGGACCAAAGCGTGTATTTTCATGTGATGTGAATAAAGACTCTGCGCATTGAAGACTGTTCCGTGTTATCTCATATAATCAGATGGAAATAAACAAAAACAGTAACTCCATCTAGCTTTATTTTGTTTACTTGAAAAATAAGTTGAGCTGCACCTGAATGGATACTTGAGAAACCTCATCTCAGACCATATGAAATTCTAGAAATAGTTACTCGGAATTTCCACTGCATTCGGGGTGGGGTGGGGGGGGAAGGTCCTCTGCCCCATTAATGACGGTTACTTCAGTGGTGATGCTTTACTCTGGCTGTATGGCACCCATTTTTATACAATATTATAAACTAAGCAATGGTTATCTCACCGTTACCTCCTAATTTAACAAGCAGGCTCAGCGAGAAGCACTTAAATTAAAATTATATAATCTATATAATCCTACCTGAAGCCAAAGGAGGAACCTCTGCCGTTTTACTTGTAGAAGTTATACTCCTGAAAAATAGCCCAGCGATAGTAAGAAGGTAAGGTTTCAGCTTCTAATGTACAACTTGGGAACGGTGCACGACAACGTTCTGATCAGATGATGCATCTTCATTCCAAAACTTCTCCCCGTCCTTTCCAACTTTCATTTCCACTCCAAGCGTAACCCTTCCGCAGTGTAAAGAACTGCAGTAACACGCGGTTAGAAACCACTATACAGAAATCCCCCGGTTCTGTGTATCATTCTTTAGCCGCCAAATGTATTCCTGGTTCTTTTACTTCACACAAATGGAATCCTCCAAGTTACCCCCCGACTTCCGTTGCCAGCCGAGACACTATAAAGACTGTGAAACGCAGAGTGCTGTGTTGGTTTGTTTAAATCGGCAGCGTGTCTGCAAGTACCTAAGTGACAGGGTAAGTACACAGTCTTCAGCAGAGTGTCTCGGTAACGCTAGAGTACGTAACAGCACTGTTGCACTATGTATCCAGAACACTGTTGTTTCATTAACAATCACGGAAGGTTTTTTTTTAATTGTAAAACTGCAGCATCTACGTGTTGTCACGTACCAAACTGCCTGGGGGCAGTACTACAACTGATGCAAGGCAGTATTTTGAAGACACACAGAAGTCAATTAGATGGAAATATTGAGAACTATATGTAACGGTCCGTAATGTTAAAAATCTCTAAGTCACTGTATGCTTGCAGGAAAAAAAAGTTAGTTGAAAATAGCAGCATTTACCAGGGCTGTGCTCTGAATGAACACGTCTACATGTCACATGCAACATCTAAACCTTAAAAATCAAACTCACCTCTGTGTAACACTACCAGTTTGAAACTAAAAATCTCATCAGACACCAATTACGAGTCTTGCTTTGCTTTAGAAAGTTTTAGGCTTGACAGATAACATGAACACTGAGGATGATCCCTTAGTAAATAAACAGGAAGTCGACAGTTTTTCGTCGCTAATAAACCAAATACTATGTTATTGAAGAGTTATTACAAGGCCATAACCTGTAAAAATATTGTAAAACTTATTTTACAAGAGAACGCCCGCTTATCCTGAGACTAAGATACATGTAACTGTAACATTCCAGAAAGCTGCTCAACCTGTCTTTAGAGAGCTTTTCAATAAGAAAGGAAAAAGAATACATTTACCGTAGTCGTCATTTTTGTAGAAAGAAAATACAGACAAACTTGATCAAACAGCTAGTGATAATGTAACTTGATCAAACAACAAAAGATGATGTGATCAGTGGAACTATTTGGAAAGTACTTTAAAGTACTGTTTATAAATAAAAAGTCAGCATGAGGTCTTATTCTGAGTTCAGATAAGAATATATAGAACCACAGTTCTGCTTCACATAATTTTTCCCCATCTCCAAAAGGAGTGTTTTCTGCCTGGAAAACGTTCCATGCAAACCTCAGGTAGCCACACAGACTTATCAACTGCTTTGCTATCCTGCCCCCCAGCTTTTTTTTTTCCCTTTTCATTTCTTATTCCCACTTTGGAGCCAGAACAACTACTTTACACTGATTTTATTAAAAAAAAGACCATAATACAAGTCATGAACAGCTTTTGTACCACTGTATTTATATTCAGTATTCCTTGTAGAGCCCAGAATGTTTGCTTGTTTAATTAATCAATGTAAAAATATTCTAGGTATGAAATACCTTCTCTCTGGATACTTCCTACACCAGCTAGCAATATCTAGTATTAGATGCTGTTGCATGTGTATGTTCATCTCTATTTTGATATCTCGGTATCAAAATATCCATGCACATGCATAGAGACGGGTGGAGTGAACCCTGTCACTGCCTGAAGCACGGAGCACCCTCTGGGGTCAGAACAGAAGCGGTGCCGCTCACAGACAGCGAGTCTGCTCCGGAGACTCGCACTTACCAAATCCTGCAGCAGCTTACACGTGCTTCGCTTCTGTAGATCTCAAACACACAGGCACGCACACCTGAAGCAGTGGTTTGGGAAACATGGAGGTTGAAGCTATTTTTATTGCTTTTTTTAAAGAAACAAACAGCAATTCCAAAAAGCATTTCAAGAATTGGACCATTTCCCCCAGGTAGCTCACAATTTGCTAAGGCATTCAAGATTCCTAACTTTGTCTAAGGACTACCAGTGCCGAGTGCATCAATAGGCACCACCACATACGCTGCACAATCCACAGCACGCTTCAGTCATACGTGTACGCCAATAAAAACATGCAATATTTAATTCCTTTGAGACAATTATTTCATTCTCCCCGAGTTTGTTTCTGTCTTCACATTCAATCAATTGCTCAAAACCTCTGTTTAAAAACCAACAGAAAACCCAAATCTACACACCGTACATACGAAGTGCTTGGCATAATGTTGCCAACAGAGACATGTTAAACCCTAATGCTGTGCCTTTATTTTGTTCTGACTCTCAAATGTTTGTAGTATGATGACATATTTCAACTAAGTATTTTTAAAAAAATGTCGTATCAACTGGAGAGAAACGACGTGACGACACATTTGGAATTTTAGTCGCTGGTTGAGAGCCCTTCCCAACTACAGTGCTTGGCATAATGTTGCCAACAGAGACATGTTAAACCCTAATGCTGTGCCTTTATTTTGTTCTGACTCTCAAATGTTTGTAGTATGATGACATATTTCAACTAAGTATTTTTAAAAAAATGTCGTATCAACTGGAGAGAAACGACGTGACGACACATTTGGAATTTTAGTCGCTGGTTGAGAGCCTTTCCCAACTACAGAAGAACATTTATTTCTGTCCCCACTAACAAAGGACACATTCCTGTCGTCTTCCTTTTGCACAGGCACACTTTATGGGCTGGATTTATAAACCTGAAGTCTGAAAAAAGCCAGGGACTTCAATAAAAAATGCTTATTAACTAAGCTAACACAGCCAAGCTGTTTAGAACAAGTCTGATTAATCAAACAGAGTTGGCTTCAGTTTACACCACTGTTCCCTTAGCTTTGATTTTAATACGCTTGAAGCAAAGATATAGTTGATTGATTCATAGGAAAGATCCCACATCTGTGATCGAGACAGGTTAAATGTTTTTGCAACCAGCTCATATTCTTGCGATAGATCTGTTGCAAAGACGCCTTTATCATCAGTCTGGAGTTAAATTGAAAGAAAAGAAAGAAAAAGTTTAAATTAGTTCCTCTACATCAAAAAGGGGTTTTTCTACACATTACAAACCAGTTTTATCTTGCTGTTGCACGGTTTATTCCACGGTTCTTTCATCTGTTGGTCATTACTTCATACTTTATTTGCCCTATTTTCACTCAAAATTAATAAATTATTCAAACATACAAGAAAACTTCTTAAAGTGATGGCACAATTTATCCAGAAAATAGGTTTTCCTATTAAAATGGCTAGAAAGATGGCTATTAAATGATGCATACATGTAAGCTATGTCAGTATGCACACATCTCCTTACTGCTCTTTTCCCTTCCCTCAGACCTGGGAACTAGAGCATACTCCGTATTCCTACATCTTCAGGGAGGAAACCGTCTCACGCTCCACACTTGGTGTCAGCTAGGACAATTTCTGGATACTGACTGAAGTACTAGGCAAGCATCAAAACCACATGATCGAAAGCCACTGAAAGATTATTCATCTAAAAGGAGCGAGTTAGCATTATGTCAGAGTTAATGAGATTACCCATCCCTAACTCACAGTCCTTGTGTCCCCAGAGAAGAGTGCTGACTATATCCTGTTAAACTTAAGACACTGTAGTATCTCCTTCTTCTACTACTCTTGTTTTTGTAGGCTTTTATGGGTGAACTGCTTTCTTACGTGACTTCAGTAGTTATCTAGACTCTTCACAATTGAAAATCTCAGAAATAATCTCTAATCGTGAATTATTTTTTACCTAATACAACAGAGTTCAAACTCAGTAATAAATACTTTATACAATAAAGGATTGAGGCTTATTTGAATAATAAGCACAATGCTCTAATATATATACACACACTTGGACAATGCTACAAATTATAGGGGTTAAACCAACAGGATGATGGTAAAATCCTACCAATGCCAGCAAAAGTACCTGGCACCTCGACAAATATTTAAGGACCTTAATTAGCTGTCAAGAGAACTCAAGAACTCTCATCCAACACGGTAAATAGCCAGGCAAGCACAAGCTTAAATGCAAGCATTGGACCAGTGTGTTTAAGAGAAATCTGTCAGCGTGCAAACAGTTACGAGGTTTGCACAGCAAACACAGCTGATCATCTTATCTATACAGAAGAAAAGGTCTTGCTTTACAATAAACCCAAGAGAAATACTAAAAATTTCCATTTGTATTACAAGCATTTCTCAGACAGAACATTATGATTTCCTACAAGCAGATGATTTGCCGCAAGGTCAGAACTGGTTAGTAAGTCAGCTCTGATCCATAAAAGGAGATATACTTCTCCAATTTCACACTAGTTTGGCCCTTTGCCTAAATACGTGGTTAAAATCGAAAAACTTACACAGAGCACTGCAGGGTGGCCCATGCTGTACCAGTATCCAAAATGGTGTTTGTCACAGGAAGGCACCGTCTGAGTTTTGATGTTTGATGTCATGCAAAGTTCTAAGGAAAAAAAAGAAGAAACGAGTATATATATCAAAACAAAAGACTTGCGATGCTTTTGACACATTAATCAACTTATTTCTGCTCCTGAATGAAAATTAAAATCAGCCATTGTTGTTTCCTTGATTTTCTATGCTTCAAATATTTGGTAATATGCTCTGAGGGAAGTTTGGTAATCAATTTCTTCTTAACTACTGGTTGGGTATAAAATCTAGGGAGCTTGCAAACCAGATAGAGAAACACCACGCAGCCTTGCACAGTAAGTAGAAGTTATAGTTTAGTTTTGTTGTCATCCGAGACATCAATTGTTGTCTGCTGCCACAAATATGTCAAACGCGAAAGCGTTACCAGTGCACCTTTATAGGCTATTCTCTCACCTACGCTGCCACGTTTTTCTAAGTCACCTCTGGTCAAAGACAAATCAGAGTTCCTAGATCAGCAGTACGTATGATATTCTGAAATCTAGAGATCACCAAGTAATTTTCTTAACTTTTTTTCTTACCAATAGGTATATGATTCTGTCGAACAAGTGGCACTAACTCTTCTGAACCTGTTGTTGCAGAGTTGAGAAACGTTCCATGTCCAATTCTGTCAGGAGGCAGGCCCAGGAGAATTTTGGTTTCCTCTTCTTGATTTGGAATCTAGAGAGGATATATTTTACATTCTGTCAAGGCAGCATAAAACAGCACATTAAATAATTACAATGGACTTCAAGTTCTGTTTTCACAGCATATCTTACCCAAAAGAAAGTGTTAGTGAGACTAAATATCTGCATTACTACCCTGTAAAGAAAGAAGTAGTGCATGAAAGTGACTCTCAACTTGGAATTACAAACCGAAGAAGCCATAATCCTAAACTGGTATGTGAAAACAGATGATCGCTCTTTGCAGTTCTGAAGTACTTTCAGTTGGAGGCCTCAAATCAGCTTTGTATGCTTCCGTTTCAAAACTACCCTGTCAAGACGATCTTTAACACTTGTTTTACACAGGGATTAAAAAAATGGCGCCTAAAGAACTTAAACTGCAAGAGGCCAAAACCAACCAAACAAACAAAAAGAAAGAAACAAAACCGAAAGACCACTGAGACATTAAGAAATACATTTTCAGAGAAGCATGCAGGAATATCCTGCAAAAGCCTCCTTAATGAAATGGAAACAAGTATAAACAGGCCTGTGACATCATGTATCATGCTTAATTTCCTGAAGGAATAAAAGTATTTTCAGCATTTATCAGACTTGTCAGAGTAAACTTCAGCTACCACTTCAACAGATTGTACGGAGCAGCCCAACTCTTTCTACTGATACAAGCAGAGCTAACAGAACTCCTCATGAAAATGTGCGAATTTTAGTATACATGACTTCTGACAAATACCAGGAAGAAAACAGTGGATTTCTTGCAATATTACTAATTTTCAAATTCACACCTAACCCTCCAATAGATATAGTACAGTAAGAAATAAATTGACAGTTCTGATTCAGAACAGATTGTTGAAGATTTCTCCTTGTTTTCTTCTCTCGTCAAAACACCCCAAAGCATTACTACTTTGGCCTGAGAAGTTCAAAACGCACAGAAGTTAATTTTAGTTTCATCAAGTTTTTTATAAAATGGGAATTACAGAGAAGGACCAAACTAAAGAAAACCAAACTAAAGAAAACTTTTACCTCTGAAAGATGCAATGCCAGCTTTAGACCTGCTTTTTTTGCTTCTGAGAGCGGTTCCAAAAAATCTTGACCATGTCCTGCCTTGAAGACAGAAACACATCACCATTCTACAGCTTGTTTTACAAAACTCCTCCTATTACAATAATTAAGAAGTCTAGCGATACCAAAATACTTAATTCAAATACAGTTACACTGAATTATTTTTCTTTTCTCATTACTTCAGTTTTGAATGCAGCAAGTCACATAAAGTTCTGCTATATGGGCACAATTTAGACAAACTGGTCAAATGTCAGTAGTTCAGATGATGCCCAACACTGACGAGGCAACTGTCTTGATTTTGATACCCTTTCTACAACTATCACTTAGAACTATTTCATTTCAACTTGACAGCTATCCTCAAATGTTTATTTTTGCTTTCTGAATACGCAATAAGCATTTGGTGCATCTAAACAAAGTTTAAACTAGTGTCAACTTGCAATATTATTTAACTTGCCTCAACCCAGTCAATCTGACTGGGACAATTTAGTAACAGACGCTTCCCAGATAAACACTACTTTTCAGTGGCTCTTTTTTCAGTGCCATATATTAATCTGTTGATTCTTTGTTAGAGTATCTGTCCCTTACAGCAACAGGGATTAACCTGGTATCGAGATTACGAGCAATCCATTCAAACTAGCAACACATATAAGACAAAAACTTGTAAGAACAAAGTATGATTAGAACCGCTTGCCGTTACACAACATTACACATTTATCTTCAAGAACAGACCAAAATAAAACAAAAACTTACGGTGGGATCACCACTGAGGTCAAGTCCTACTACAACCCCATCAGTGGAAAGAAGGAACTCTTCAGCAAGTTTAACAGTCTGCTTAGCAACTGCCGGGCCACCTCTTCTATTTATTGCTATTAACAACCTAGGATAGAAATGTACGTATTAAGTTAAATACAAGCTATAATATCAGGAGACCAACAAATCTGATGCCAACAAAAATGGCACTTCACATCCTTCACGGCTGAGTATAAAGAGTATTTGTATAGGAAACTGTTCAAGGAACGAAGGCACCAAAGTGCAGAGGGACACAAATTAGACATATACGTTAGCCTGTGAAATGCAATAGCCACGGTGAGAGGGAGGGCAGGGAACAATACATTGCTCATTTGCTGCCTGCAGTATCAGGCGAGCAACCTCTCAGAGGTGCACACATGAAGAATGAGAATTCTTCAGCCTCCACTAATAAATCTAACAAGGGTTGCTACTGACAGTATGAAAGACAGGCAAGCAGACTGCCTCCAAGCAACCACTGACACCTTCTGAAACTTTCCTGCTGGAAGGGCCACCGCTCCTTTACAGCAGGTTGCTTGTACAGCTAATCAAGCAAAATCTTTGCAATGAATCTAGGCTGTGAAAAAGGAGTCTTTAGTGCAATTTCCATCAAAAACACTGCTTCTCCTGAAAACATCGCAGGGAATGGACAGTCTTAGAGCCGAAAAGCTTTACCCAGCTTCATTCTCTATGAGTGAAAAGGAAGATAAAAATTCAGGTTTCCGTATGAATTACCTGTTTCCGTTCCATGTAATCTAGTTTAAGCACAATTTTCTTTCCTACACTGATGGTTTGTAAACCTCTCCACAAACCATGACCGAGCATCAGACTACACAAAACCTTGAAACAGAGGTACTCCATGTGCTTTATTTACCTTACATCTATATCCAAGCCTTCTTCTTTACACTGCTTTATACCCTCAAGTACAGTTTCAACATACATCCTTTTGGTCATACCTACAAACACATGTACACATTTGGAATAAACATATTTGAATTAATTTTATTGTGTTGCAGACCCAGCTCTCTAGCCTCCTAACTTTCATTTTGCACCTATGATTTTAGTCCATAGTCTTCTAATCTATATAGTTCTAATTCTGTTTACAAATATGGCTTTACTTTGAAGCATACATTTGAATTAAGCCTCCTCCCAAGCACCTGGAAGAAAGACAATAACTTAGTGTGAACCAGAGTAGCAACAGGACTTCTCTTACCTGTTTCTATTAAACCACATCTAAAAGAAAATTAAAAAATGAAGTAGCGAAAAGAAAATTACTTCAGCTATTACAAATATTAGCAGACTCAGATATCATACTAAAGCGAATAACCCAAATTCTTGGGTAGCAGAGTTATAACCAACACATTTTTGTCCTCAAAAATCTAACAGTAAAGTGTTATGTTTTTACATGGTTAAATCTTTGCTTTTATATTTAAAATATATTTTTATTGAACCAACTAAATTTGACTTTACTTGTTATTAACATAGTCTTAACTAAGTTTTATAGCACATCAAACTTACAAATTAAAACCCAGAACAGGCTGTACCTGTGGACTTTTCTTCTCTAGGAGTGCTCCTCAATTCCAGGTACTTGACACCATCATCAGCAAATTCTTTAATAACATCTTTAGTTATCTGATTAAGAAACAGTGTATTCAACATCATGAAAGTAATGCTTATAATCAGTTATATTTTCTCTTCGAAAGAAAGGAAAATATTTCTTCCTTATCTCTTCCTTAAAAGACCTGGCTATCTTTTGGTGTGAAACACTTGCAAATTTTCAGGCCCTATGTGTTTTTAGCACTCTCCATCTCTGGAAATACTACCCCACAGAGGGTACCTTCAGTTCCCTCAGTGATACTAAAGAGAGTTAGGACAAATGAGAATTTCCTTGTCTGAGCAAGAATACCCCTCAACTGGTGCAGTGATAACTCCTTTCACAGCTACTGGACCTTTCCGTAAGTTTAACAGGCTGCCTAAAAGCTCCTTTACAGGAGGAAAGAAGAGGACACTTGTCCTGGTTTCAGCTGGGACAGAGTTAATTTCCTCCCTAGTAGCGGGTACAGTGCTGTGTTTTGGATTTAGTATGAGAATAATGTTGATAACACACTGATGTGTTAGTTGTTGCTAAGCAGTGCTTACACTAGTCAAGGACTTTTCAGCTTCTCATGCCCTGCCAGCGAGAAGCT